TAACCCAGCCTGATTGTTGCTGAAGAGCAGGGATAGGCTCAATAATCTGTGGTTTTCGTACTTAGTCTTGACGGTACTTGGGCTGCAGTGAGCACCTTTTAATGCCTCTGAACACCTGAAGTCCTTTTCATGCTTCTGAACTGTAAGACCAGCTGTTGGAGAGACTCCTTTCGTTATCAGGCTTTCGGTCTCAAGGTGGGGGATCACTAGGAAAATAAAAGTTTTGATGTTGTCATCTATTATTATTTTTAAGTAGACATCAACATTTAGAGGTCCGGTTATCAGAATGCCCTGTTAGTGGTTCTCAACTGAGGGTAATCTACCCACCCCCAGGGGCATCTGGCCATGTCTGGAGACATTTTTGATTGTTAGGACCCGGGTGGAGGGTGCTACAGGCATCTCCAGTGGATAGGGATGCTGCTAAACATTCTACAATGCCCAGGACAGCCTCCCACAAAAAAAAATTCAGATCCAAATAACAATAAAACCAAGCTTGAGAAACCTTGATGTGTATTTCTTCTGGCCCAGTCATCTGGTGCAGTTAACAAATGGTCCTAATTGTAGCGCATAATGTAGAAAAATAATGGAAGAACTGGAAGGGAATAGTAATATCCACGTTATTCAAGTCATTGATCCTGAAGAAAGGTTTAAACTGTGCTGTTACGCTTGAAAAATTATCTGCCTGTAAAGAATGACCCTCTCAGGTGACTCAGAATCCTTTCTAATATATTCCGATTACATACAGTTCTGTGACTTGCTAATTGGCTTGCTTCTTTTAGATATCTCGTAATGAGAAGGGGTGGAAAAGCTGGTTTGATAAAGACGCTCCAGAGGAGGAAATTATCCCTGATGGTTATAACGATTCACTAGATACCTGCCATAAACTTTTACTTATCAGGTGAGAACAGGCATTATCAGACCTAGAAGCATCACTCATAATATTGCTAAATTACAGATTGTATCTCAGTGAGTTTACTTCACTGTATCTCTGTCATTGAAAGTAACGGGAAAAACCGCAATTACTTCTGTGCCAGCCTAATATTATAAGAAGTGTATGTACTTCCAAATTATGGCTTGGGATAGCAGTTCTTCAGTTCCTTGACAAGCAAAATAAAATGGTAATGGTGGCAGGGAATGATGTATTTTGACAACATATTAATGATAGTGCTTTTAGCAAAAAGCCTGAAAAATATGCTTTTATTATTCACTTTGTTCATGATTTACCATTGAGTGTAAATCAGTTATTGTTGAATTTATTTCTTTAAAAAAGCAGACCTCACAAAGTTACAAGACAATTAGCTCATAAGCTAAAGTTAAATTGCATTTGAGAAAAAAAACCAATAATATTGCACTGAATTCGAAATATATAAATGCTACTTTTGGCTATAAAATGGAAACAGAAGTTTGAAATTGATGTTAAAGAAGAAAATCGCCCTCTCTTTTCACATTTTACATTTTCTCAGTATCCAGTAACTCGGGGACCTTCCACGTTGAAAATAATCAGTGTGTGTGTGCGTGCACGTGTGTGTGTGTGTTTGTATGGTAGGTGGGTAAGGCAGAGGAGTAAAGCAGGGGAGATGAGACCCCTACATGAAAAATGAGAGGTAGAGATATTTTGAAGCGATCTTTGTCTTTTCTAACGTTCTACACCTAAGTTTGCATTTCTTAGAAAAAGCTGTTTCTTAGACATTGTCACCCTTCAAGAGTGGCCAGAACAACACTAATGTTGACTTCATAGTCCGCAGAGTATGAAAGGGCTCCTTTTTTTTTTTTTTTTTTTTTTTTTTGAGACAGAGTCTTGCTCTGTTGCCCAGGCTGGAGTACAGTGACGCGATCTTAGCTCACTGCATGCTCTGCCCCCCAGGTTCACACCATTCTCCTGCCTCAGCCTCCCGAGTAGCTGGGACTACAGGCACCCACCACCACGCCCAGTTAATTTTTTGTATTTTTAGTAGAGACGGGGTTTCACCATGTTAGCCAGGATGATCTCAATCTCCTGACCTCGTGATCCACCCACCTCAGCCTCCCAAAGTGCTGGGATTACAGGCGTGAGCCACCACACCCAGCCAGGCCTACTTGGTTTTATTGGAACACATGTGTCTATTTTTTAATCCATCATTTAAAAATTAGATCTATGTCAAATAGTACAATCTAGTAGCAAAAGCAAAACAAAACAAAACAAAACAAAAAGAGTCTGTGGGGCTTGTCTGTGCTTTACCATATCAGTATTAAATGACACTATCCAATGTGTCTGTGTATGTGGAACTTGCTATGGTGTGCATTACACAAATGGTATGCCACAAATGCTTGCTCACTAACTTACTTTGGGCATCTTTGGCACATTGGTTCCTCCCCTGAAGGATGTGGAGCCTCAGAGTGTGTGGCAGGTCAGCCCCTGCTATGTGTTGGAGCTGGTGGAGGACACTGTGTTGTTATGGGCTCTGCCCTACTTCTTGCCAATGCCTGGCTGGCACCAAAACCGTGAGATTAAATTTGTGCTCATCCATGGATAGGAAACCTGGCCATTCCTCTTACACGGATGTGGAAAAGTAGGAATTAGCTTGGTGCCCTTTTGCTAATTAAATGTGTGTTTTTACTCAGAAGAAAAAATGAACACGTTTAGTTTATTTCGCTTAACTTGTATTCATTTTTAGGTCATGGTGCCCAGACCGTACTGTTTTTCAAGCAAGAAAGTATATTGCAGATTCTTTGGAGGAGAAGTACACGGAACCAGTTATCTTAAATCTGGAGAAAACCTGGGAAGAAAGTGATACCCGGACACCTCTGATATGCTTCCTGTCCATGGGATCTGACCCCACCAATCAAATTGATGCATTGGCCAAGAAACTGAAACTGGGTAGGATTAACAATCTACAAAATTTAGCAACACTTCCATATTTTTGTCCCGAATTTTGCCTTTCATACTTTTATAATTGATTCTTAGAAATATATGTAAAACTGAATTCAAAAAATATTAAACTTATTCCTCTTCCATCCTTTCATACCCCCTAAAGTGAGGGTATGATATAGGTATCTTTGTGTAGAGAAGAACACACTCATCTACCATATACTTTTTTTTTATTGGTTGTGTTTTTAAGTTCTAAGGAGATGGCTGCATTGCATGGATAGCCGACTAAAAAGAATGAACGCACAACAGCCAAAGTTTATGTTATTGCCACGTCTATATAAAATTACGGCAAAGTTTATTTTGTCACAAATTGAAAAACTATAACCATTATTGTAATGCATAGTAATTAGGGATTAATTATTTCATGCTTTCACTTAATAACCATTCAGTACAGGCAGTGTGCTAGATTTGGGGGTACAGAGATGAATACAAACACAGCTGGGAAAGACAGACATGTAAACATGTAATTGAGGGCGATGTGACAGCTGCAGTAAATGTTTCATAGAAGTGGCCGTTCACAGGATTCGGAGCTACTCAGATTGCCTGGGATATGGGGGAAAACATCACATTGGTGATATTTGAGTAGAAAGTTAAAAAATAGATAAAATTTACCAGGTGGGGTGGTGGGAGATAGAAAGTTACTCTAGGGGGGAGGAGATGCACAGAGAAGTTATAAACACAAAAGCGTTTATAAGTGTGACTGAATCAGTAGGATTAAAGGACAGGGATGCAGAGCACATCTTGACAGGATTGTGCCATGCTGTAAGAAGGACTGTTTATCCCTTCCTTCATTCATACTCTGAAAATCTGAATGTTGCTGACATTGCCATTTGCAATCTTCTAGGTTCAGATATCTATATAACTTGTAGGATTAATCCACTCATGTCTTTTGTGTATTTAAGTGATTGATTGTGAATCACTAAATCTATCCTGTGAAGTAAAATTACATTAAATTTATTACATAGTCTATATAAGCATGATATAAAATCAATTCAGTCATGTCCATGTACTAGCCACCTGTCCCTGTGCATAAAACCAAGCTATGGTAGTATGGTCCATGTTCATGTCCTCTTTTCTCATCTTGACTTCGCTCTATTTGTTGTCACCACACTGTTCTATATTCTCAGTGGATCAGTGTTCAAATGGCCACGGTCTTCTATCTGAACACTGATACCAATGCAGAGAGTGCCCAGGTTGTATTGGCAACTGCTCATGGTTAAGTCTCATTAGCTATCTCCAAAGTAGGCAGTTTTGCTCTAGTATTTACTGCAGCACACCAGCTGTCTGAGTTTATCTGAGAGTGATGCCTCTCTAGTAGCCTTACAGTTTGCAAATCTCTCTCAAATCTGTTGCTCTATGAGTGTTTATCCAGCTGCCGCTATGCCTCACTTCTGTCTCTACACAGGTGTCTTTTTTCTCTCTTGCCACTTACCATTCTTCTCCACATGGCAGAACATGTGGCTTCTGGTGGCTCGTGGGCTTCACTGCTTACATGCTCAGAATGTTCAGCACTCCCAGGGAAACTCCTCTTATTGTCTTGGTTCCAAGTCCCAATATCCAGGGAAGTAACTCATTGTCTTAGCTTTGGTCATGCACTCCTTTCTGGGCCAATCATAGCTTTGGTCATGCACTCCTTTCTGGGCCAATCGATGAACTGCTGCTCTGGAGATAGGTTCCTAGTAGAAACCTTATGTATGAAGCTGGAATGGGGGACATTTCTTAGAAGAAGATACAATGCCTAGAAGAAGGAATATTCAACCAGAGTTACCATTTCAAATGTTGTAATTTAAGAACATAATCAAGAAATTCAGGGTCTCCTTTGGGAGAAATTATAACTGATATTCAATGAATACAGAAGGGCAGACTTGTGCTCTCTCCTTTAACGCTATCATACTGCTTTGCTTGGCAATTTGGTGATTTCCATTTCTTACTCCTACTTTACTTTTTCCAACAACAATCCAGGCTTCTCTTGATTCCTTTATTAGGATACTGGAACAACATAGATTTGGTTTTGACACTGAAGGATCAAATGACTTTTATGAACAATTCTATTGCCAAATCATTTTAGCTGTATTAGGAAATCTCGTGCTGCTTGCTGCTTTGGGTTGAAAGTCCCAAAGCTAGCTGTTAAAATGGAACTGTTACACAGACAGAGCAACGTGATAGTGTAGTCTCAGCTATTAATATTTTATTTGAAAATCTGGATAATAATCATAGGATGCTTAAGGTGAATGTGACTGGAAATCTTGAAATCCAATTCCTTTTTTTTTTTTTTACAGATGGGGGAAACTATGGTCTGGAGATAAGGCCCCAGACCTAGTCCATGGCAGATCTGGTTCAGAACTTATGTCAGGAACCCCACTTCAGTGATCTCATTGGTCTTTCTTTTTCATTCTTTCTCATTGTTTTCATTAAAGGAATGAACCAGCTACCTGAAAGTAACATAAGGATGGGACAGAATCAAAAAGTTTTTGTAGAAAAAGAGGAGAAGGGAAACTTTGGGTTATAGATATTGTCTTGTACTGGTCAAGATCTGTAGTGAGAAATCTGGAGCAGAGGAACTCTGCACAGAGTACTGGGTATGTGGGCGAAGTGGAGAAAGCAGATGGATTTAGCATGAGAGCCCTTCTGGGAGCCTGAATAGGGGAGGAGGGAGGTCTCAGAGGAAGGATGGGCTTAAAAAGAACACCTGAAAACGAACAAAAGAGAACAAATACATAAAACCCCCACAGGTACACAAAAGTAGAAGTAGAATAATAATATAAAAACTGAAATAATAATATGTACAGATGAAATATTTTAACATTTTAAATAATAGGAGAATGGCTTATAATTATAGTAATAAATTACAGCAGCTCATCAAAATTGGCAAATTTATAGAAACATATGAGTTTAGAAAATTCCTCAGAAAAGGTAGAAAACCCTGAATAAACCAATAATCAAGGTGAGAAAAGGTAGAAGTTTTAAAACTATTACATCAGCAAAGACTCTAGGCTTGGATAATTTTCTGATAAGTCCTTTAAAACTTTCAAGGACTCTCACATGCTATATTCTGTTCCAAAAGATGGAAAAAGAGAATATATTTTGTTTTATTTATTTTATTATTTGTTTTATTTATTTATTTTTGAGACAGAGTCTTGCTCTGTCACCCAGGCTGGAGTGCAGTGGTGCAATCATGGCTCACTACAGCCTTAACCTCCCAGGCTCAAGTGATCCTCCTACCTCAGCCTTCCAAGTAGGTGGGACTACAGGCACACACCACTACTCCTAGCTACATTTTTTTGGTTGTTTTTTTGTAGAGGTGAGTTCTTATTATGTTGCCCAGGATGGTCTTGAACTCCTGAGCTCAAGTGATCCTCCCTCCTTGGCCTCCTGAAGTGCTTGGATTACAGGCATGAACCACTTCATCTGGCCCATTTTCCTCTTTATTAACGTTAATCTGAAATAGTAAACTGACCCAGATAGTAACTGCATAAACAAAAGAAAACCAGCCAGGCGTGGTGGCTCATGCCTGTAATCCCAGCACTTTGGGAGGCCGAGGCAGGTGGATCACCTGAAGTCAGGAGTTCGAGGCCAGCCTGACCAACATGATGAAACCCCTTCTCTACTAAAAATACAAAAATTAGCTGGGCATGGTGGCAGGCACTTGTAATCCCAGTTACTCAGGAGGCTGAGACATGAGAATAGCTTGAACCCAGGAGGCGGAGGTTGGGTTGCAGTGAGCTGAGATTGCGCCATTGCGCTCCAGCCTGGGTGACAGAGCAAGACTCTGTCTCAAAAATAAATAAATAAATAAATAAATAAATAACTATAAGGATCTTAACTAAATCACAAGCAAGTTGAATTTATAGTGACATCAGCAAGATGTCTCATATCCCTCTACATATCCCTCCCTCATATCCCAACACCACATCAGCAATTCTGTATCCATCCACAGATGAACTCTCTGCAGGAGCCTCAGGATATAGGTAGAAGGTTGTGAAACCCTATTAAAATCTAAGACCTAGGAGGGTTGTTTTGAGAGTACAAACTGACACCCAAATGGCAGATCTGCCAATTGTGCTTCCAGGTTCAAGCCTAGAAATGGCCCTGCTCCCCAAGGAGTTTGGCTACAGCCCTTTTTGGCCTTGAGCCTGCAACTAAAACCAACTGCCAAAGGTTGTAGGTGGAATCAGGCACACTAATGTCTCAGTGGAGAGGCTTGTCTGCCTGCCAACATCGATCTTGGCAGTGAACTTGAAAGTTACCCTGTGGCTTGTCTCCAGCCACCCTCAGCTGAGGTCCCAACTCAGAGCTAACTGTGCAAGAGCCCAAAAGGAGGCTTGCTCATATCTAGCAGCCTGGGAGTCTGAACCTCCAAGAAGGGCTCATCAACCTCTGTACCCCAGCAGATACGAAGGGTGCCCACTGTCAACTCTGGCCCCTCCTGCTGCAGTCAGGGAACTATCCTACCTGTGCAGGGATCTACTGGGAGATACATGCCCTTCTGAGCCAATGAGATGAACTCTTCAGTCATCATCCTCCAGCATTTCCCAAAAGGGCCCAGTCTCAGCTCCAGTCCCTCCTGCTGTAGTCAGGAAACTAATTTGTGCAGAGACCTGCTGGGAGACACACTCCCATCTGAACCAATTAGGTGGGCTTGCCAGCTGCTGCCCCACATCAAGTCCTGAAGGGGTCTAGTCTCAGCTCTAGCCCCTCCTGCTGCAGTTGGAAACTATCCCATCTGTGCAGAGACCTGCTGGAAAACAAACTCATCTAGGCCACTGGGACAGGCTTCTGGGCTTGTGTCCCTGACCAACTTTCTCACACAGTTCAGGCATATTGTCCCTAAAAACAAAACAAAACAACAGCAACAAAAAAACTTGTTATAAATATCAGATTTTCTGGTAAGCCTCATGGTAACAACAAAGCAAAAACCTATATTAGATACGCTAAAACTAAAAAGTAAG